CTCGATCTCCAGTCCGAACGCATCATGCACACCCTCCTCCTGAAAAAATGAAATCATCTTACCACGAAAAATATCAAACATAGTATACAAGTCCTGCTCCTTCTTCACGCTACCAAGCCAAGGTTCTATTTCTGAGCCGGGATTGACACGTAACGTGCCTAAGCGGGCAAAGCCCTGTTGTTCAGCGATGGCCTCAGCTGTCGCCTTAGCCGCTTGCGCCACGATGTGTGCGACGCTGCTGGGGTCGTTGAAGGTGGCTGGTTGCCAGTAGGTGGGACTGGGTTGACGGCTGGTGGTTGGGCGTAGGTCACTTCACCCTCGTTGATCCTGTTGGCTTCAAGTTCGGCTTGTACTCGTTGCTGGACGATCTCCTCCACTTTCTGTTGTAGTTCTTCCCCGCTAAGAGCGGAGAGGTCGATGCCCATGGTGTCTGTTGTTGTGGGAGCCTACCGATTGCGCGTGATTGCACAACCCCCGGAAGGCTACGCCCGCGCGCAGATACCGTGATATCGCACTAGTATGAAAGGTAAACTACGCGGGGTGCAGCACGCCCGTCCTGGGCGTTACTTGGGGCACTTGGTAGTCGGCCGTGGTAGGCCGAGAGAGAGAGGTGGAGAGATAGTGCGAGAAGGAAACTTGATTGGAGAGAGAAGGCCGTGGCGGTGGAGAGGGAGAAGGAAAAAGGAGTGCGCAACACGCACGCAAGCCTCATCGTTCCAACCGCGCCGAAAGGGTCCCCGTGACTGCACCGCTGGTACCCTACAACACACGAAATTCCCAACAAGTATCCCCTTGGGATCCTCACGACCAGATACTGCTGCGAGTATATCTAACATCGAGGATCCACAGAAGAAACAGATCCTCATCATCAGTCCCTGTAGAAAATGCGGAGAGGACGACACTGACCGAAAGCCATCCTTGCTTTTCAGATTCTCCATGCATACAGATGGCGCCCGCACTTAAGAACCGCTTATATTGGCCAAGGCTCGATGCTTCTTGGCTACCTCAAATTCAGCACCTGTCCTTATTTTCAAAGTTCTCGNCCCCTTGGGATCCTCACGACCAGATACTGCTGCGAGTATATCTAACATCGAGGATCCACAGAAGAAACAGATCCTCATCATCAGTCCCTGTAGAAAATGCGGAGAGGACGACACTGACCGAAAGCCATCCTTGCTTTTCAGATTCTCCATGCATACAGATGGCGCCCGCACTTAAGAACCGCTTATATTGGCCAAGGCTCGATGCTTCTTGGCTACCTCAAATTCAGCACCTGTCCTTATTTTCAAAGTTCTCGTTTCGAGCAGGCATATCCGTATGATACACGGGGTTCTTGTTCTTATTTCTACGCCGAGGGCCCGATTCGGAGGACTTTTTTTTTCTGGGTGGATTCAGCCTGACACTTGAGAGCAGCGTGTTCATAAAACAGACCATATAAATTGAACGTCGCTCAACAGAAACCTCTGGAATCGACGCGTCGCAGATCACGATAGGGTAGAGTGAAATACAGACGCAGTATCGCCTGAAAAAATGACGCATCTGAGGAAACACGTTGAACCATTTAGAGGTCCACAAGGGTCACGTTCGGCCTGATTGCCCTCCCCGCTCTATCTAGGGCCCGTCGTAGCTACTTTGCGACCTTCTGCTCTTCGAATGCCGGACCTCCTCCCTGCTCTACGGCGCGATAACCAGCAAAGCCCACCACCCTACCACCGCACCCGCATCTTCACTGTGCTTGTCCAACGGCATTCATGCGGCGCTTCTTTGCTCTACATGTAGCTCGAAATGCACACGGTAGTCGTAAAAGTGGCGGGTACGCTCCTGAGACGGCCGAGTGATCAGCTCACCAAATCAGCCCATGCTCAGTTTTACGAGTACTCCACATGCAGCAACGAACTGTCAAGAGCAGCGGGTTTAGACGCTTGAATTCGAAAACTGGTGGGTGCGACGAAGGAAGAGGTGTCGGAATGCTTTCGTCGCCCCCGCGCCGACTCGATGGCCTCCCAACTGACTTCGCGGGCAGTTGCCAGCAATGACATGTTCTTTGATGGCCTCTAAGTGTCGATGAAGAATCACACCTCCTTTCAACTTCGACAGCTGGCCGAGCTCTTTCAATATTTCAAGGGGTAAAGACATGGCTCTCGTGCATGACACGCAGCGCGGCAGACACCCCAGTGACACGCGACGAGGGATATACCTTGTGCAACAAAGCTAAGCACCTACCTACCCCCTCCTCGGTCGTTGGCATCGGAGTTGGGCTTACGTCGCGAGGCAACGACGTTGTAAAACAAGCCGCCCCATCCCCCCCGGTATTTGCCATCGGGGTTGGGTTTTCGTCGCTTGGCAACGACGGTGTAAAACAAGCCGCCCCATCCCCCCCGGTATTTGCCATCGGGGTTGGGTTTTCGTCGCTTGGCAACGACGGTGTAAAACAAGCCGCCCCATCCCCCCCGGTATTTGCCATCGGGGTTGGGTTTTCGTCGCGTGGCAACGACGTTGTCAAACAAGCCAATTCACTTCGTGAACTCGGCAACCAGGTTATCGTTTTTTTTAACCTCTGTTTCTTTTTTCTTTGGCGGTAACCATATAGGTGGTCGAGTAGATTATGTTGTGCGGGGTGGACAATCCTCACTCCGCGCAAGGGGGATGATCGCACCATGTTGTGTTAAAATGGTCACGCATCCTCGAGCCAGCTACACAGTGCTGACAACTGTCTCTGGAAGTGAACGCACCAGAAAATATGTTAATTC